ATTATCAATTTACATAACCTTTTATTCCCCTTTTTCCTCAGTCAACATCATCAAATTACACACAAACAAGCAAACTAGTAATTTATGCCAAACAAGACAACATACAACATCGGGTTCTCAGTCATTCAACCCATAATCAATAAAATAGTGATATATGGACACGAAACTATGAAATAAAAATATCAGACCTCATACTGCATTTAAAACTGTAAAATAGGCCAAACAACAGCTGACCGACAAACACACCAGACTCGGACTCCATTAGCGACCTTAAACAATTTCACACATCTATTGATTCATGAAATACCGTTTTATCATTTATTGAACTTTAATACCGTGATAGGAAATAGGGTGAAGGGTCCTTACTTGTTTCGGGGTCTGAATAAGGCTCTACAGTGCGCTTACAGGCTATCCCTAATTTTCCCTGAATTTTTCCCAGAGAACTGAAACGCACTACTGGTACCTGCACGTGTCCCAAAAAATTCCAAATTAGACCCAGGACCCCTTTCGGCCAATATTGCAATTCCGGCACGGCGGCTCCGCCGTGCTCCGGCGACGCCGCTTGCAGCGGTGATTCGCCTCGGGTTGGTCGTTTTCGGCCGTTTTCGACCAAATTCGGCCACACTTGCATCGGTCCCTGCTATAAAACAACCCTAGGACCCTCGGGGGGCCAAAAAATTACGAAAAACTGAAGCTTACCGGCGGCGATGCTCTCGGGTGCGGCGGCTCTTCGGCGAGGTTCGTGTTTTGGTGATTTGGCTCTGATCAACCTGTAGAGAAAAGAATGGTGATCACGGTGATATACAAATTGTATCAAACAGAGGCCGGGAAGGGCCTCATCGGAGGCAAAAACCGAGGAGGGGCGCGGCGGCGCCGCAGGGTTTCGGCCGTGTTTTCCGGCTGTTTGGCCGGGAGTTTGGCTCCGATTCGGCCACAGGAAAACTCAGCATTGAAAAATGAGTCAGGGTATGAAATTTACCTCGATCGGCGGTCGGAAAACTCCCCGGTGCAGCGGCGAGTGGCGGCGGCCGGCTCTTCCGGCGTCTGGTTCGTCTTCTCCGGTGAGGGCTGGCGGCTAGGGTTTTTGTGGTCAGGTGTGAGAGGTTTATTTATACCCTTTGCCTTTTAATCACAGCCGTCCATCTTGATTTAATCTGGGCCGTTCGATCGCGATTTAATTTGGATTAAATTTGGGCCGTCCATCGCAATTAAATCTGGACCGTCCGTACTTGATTGAAACTGGGCCGTTCGTACGCGTGCATCTGGGCCGTCCGTGCGCGCGAGGACGCATCTGGGCCGTCCGATCGCGGGCACGCGGATCGCCCACGTGGCCTGTTCCCGGGTCGTCGTGGCCTTGCCACGCGGCAGGTCCTGGTTGGCCAGGGCTGCTGACTGGGCCGCTGACGTGGCTACTGACGTGGCGCTGACGGAGCACAACTTTTTTAAATTACGTTTTGACCC